TTCACTTTATATAAAACCAAAGAGAAACCAGGGATTTAAAAATACTGAGCCCATTAAATGTTTGATGAGACGACCAAAAATAAATCCTCTGTGTAATTATTCATTAGTTGTCCCAAAAGTTGTCAAATTAAAAGGTCATGGCGTCCAAAAGTACTTTAATCTTCCTCTAAAAAGGAAATGACCTCAGTAACATTTTGTTAAATTAATATGGTAGCCTGTAAATTAGGGTGAGATTAATGCAAAACAAAACACATTTAAATGGGACAGTTTTATACGTAACTCTTATGTTAAATAAAAAGATAATTGATGTTTTTAGTAGAACTCAATATTTTGTTAGCATGGAGATAAATATGAGTCACATATTAATCCAGCCCAAAGAATGATGAGATATAGTTTGCAGTGCCGCTGGGTGTTGTTTGTCATTCTTGCAGGATGTTGCAACAACGCAAACGTTCAGTTCAACAAAATCCACATTTGGACAAACTCATAAAGTCTAATTTTTGCATGTGTGGTTGAAGTTTGTGTAAAAGTGGTTTCAAGGTTCAACATTCCTGAATTGTATGATTCAAATAAGCAGAAATAACATCAGGTTCCAGGAGATAAAAGAAAAAAAAATACCCCAAACCGTTCGTCTGTACCAATAACACTTCTGTTTGCACAGAAGTACTTTGAAGTTTTTTTTCCTCACTTTCACATCCCACACGTCCCCATGTCTTTGTATTTGTAAAGCAAACAAACTAAATTCATGTAAATCGGCTACACACCCTCATCTAAACGCTCATCAGTTTCATTTATGAACACGTTTACATTGAAAAAAAGGTATAATAGGTCAAATAAACACTTGTTTACATGTTTTGTTTCTTTTCATCGTGCAAATGTTTTTGTTCAGTACACGTGTGAAATTTCACAAGCACCATCCACATAAATCATCAGAAATTAACACTCTAAAATACTTTAAGACCAATCTGCTGCCACTTAGACTCGTGTAAGAGTCAAACACAACCCACAATGGAGGTTCATTTAAATGTCACTTAAAACTTCATAAAAGTCCATTTCCAAAAGTCATCCGGCCTCTTCGCTCATATTTATAAAAATAAATACAGTTGGACCAGTGTTTGATACAGAGATAAAAGCAATATGACACCCAGAGGCTCATCTAAAACAAGTGCAATGTCGCATTAAAGTGATAAAAGGCCTTAAAATATCAATAAATATCTTCGGTGCAACATTTGCACGCACACTGTTCAGCACTGGGTTTGTGTTGGAAGAGAAGGAGTAGTGTTCAGAGGAGCACAGCGTATGAAGGGTGGACTTTGTGTGACACGGTCCAAATGTTAAACCTGCGATTTTGTGCTTCTGTCCCCTTCCAGCCAATATTCTTCTGTCTGCATCTCTGTGAGTCGAGACACCGTCCTCTGGAAGGCAAATCTCTCCTCCTCTCCGCTGAAGATGGACAGACTGCTGGCCTCGTCCTGTCGAACCCAGGGAAACAAAATGACACGTTCCATAGTTCATTGAAACGCAGGAGTACTTGTTGTTATGTGCACTGCTTCAGATAAAAAGGCATCAGACGAGTAGTTTTACATTAGTTACCAAAAGACAGTTAAACAGAAGAATCACACAGACATGTTCAGAGCTTAAGTCTTTTCTAAAGGGACATCAGAGTTAAGGTTTTAATCTTAACATGTTCACACAGACCTTCCTCTTACTGCTTATTGATATTTTAACATTTTTTATCTTAATGATTTCTGTTGATCTTGAAGAAACAACATTTCAGCCTCTTAAAATCCCTTTTGTGGAATTTATGTCTTTATTAGACTAAAAGAAAGAGTCAACAGGAAATGAGGGGGAAAGAGTGAGATGCGACGAAGGGGATTTTTAAGTTGGTGCTCGACATGTCAGCTCCTTCACCAACGGGGGGGGGGGGCATCCCTGAACATTTAATTATAACTGTATTTTTTTTTAATGGTTGAAATTAAAAATAAACAAACTTATGTCGCAGTTCAAATGAGTTGTGAGATCCTATCAATCTGTGATTTCCATCTCTACTGAAAACAGGAAATTAATGTGCCACTGAAGAGAAATGATTTAACACTGCAGTTTCCATAGATACATAATTTGTGTTTAAAAATAAAGCAGCGTTACTATGACTCAAATCTGTATCAAGAGAACGTCACAACTCATGCAAGCTCCATCGTATTTCTGTTTGTTACTCTCTACGATCTGACCCATATTTTATATATTATTAAAGTAATAAATATGTTTTAGGAGTGAACATTCTTGGCAGCAGTCTGCACTCTGATTGTTTTATAGCCTTTTAAAATGTGACAGAATGTACACACCCAAAATGAAAAACTGGTTCGGCTGGTTAAAAGAAGAAGGAGAGCTCTTACCCTTTTCAGCCCCAGATCGTCCATGAGAATGTGGCTCTCGTCGTGGCCGCGATCCCCGTCGTGCACAAAAATGTCCTCCAGAGGGTGGTCCGCAAGAATTACCACCCGCACCTGAAATCAGAGATGACTCATTGTAATAAAAACATTTTTGTGTGTGTGTGTGTGTGCGAGTGAATTAGTGCAGTGTACCTTGTGGTCGTAAAGAGCGTCCACGAGTGTAATGAGCCGCCTGGCTTGAGTTTTTTTGTTGAGCGTGAGCAGAGGAATGTGACGGATAAAGATGGTGTCGAACAGCCTGGACATCTCAAGGTAATCACTGGCCCCTAAAGGCTGAAACATTTACATTCAGACACTGGACGGCACAGCAGCCAAAAAGCAGCGCTTCTGATCTGAAATCACTTTAAGTTGCTGAGCACTTTACATTTCTCTGAGTCTTTAAATCATCAGCATTTTGTTTTATAATGTCTGTTTACTAGAAACTCATCATTTTATGTCTATTCTGATTTCTTTGGATAACATTAGCTCGTCCAGAGCCATTAATGAGAGAATCACTGAAACACTTGGCAATCAAAAAAAAAAAGTGAATGATGAATGTAAATTTGATCGAGGTCTATGTGTTTGTAAAGACACCGAATAGTTTGAGGCTGAACTTCAGCGACAACAGAATATTATCATTTTGTTGCTTCAATGAAGCTCTGCACTGAAGCTTTGTAAGAAAAACCTGATTTCTGTGATGAAACAAATAAAACCAAGCAAAATAGTGTGAAAAAGCAACACACAACAAAAAAGACCCAAGATTCAGGATTAGAAGTCGATATTGATCCAGAGTTTTACAACATGATCAGGACTGAAAAGGTTCGGACAGACTCACTCTATCACAGAGCTCCTCAAACGTACAGTCTGCAATGGTCCCACAAGCTTTGTCCAGGCGCACTTTCCTGTTGTGAACGTTCATAACTCTTGGTCGTGTAACTGTGGGGAAATGTAACAAGATAATTATAGCAGCTGTAAGCAGCAATGCGTCGGGGACGGGCATTTTGAGGAAGTATAGCGGGAAGATGCAGGAAAGAAAAGAGGAGGAAGAAGAAAATGAGCTTTTAAAGATGTATTTTGGTTGAAAAGAGTTATTGTGTTTCAACCACAATAAACTCACAATCTTAGACTCTAAAGGCAAGTGATGTTACTACACTGTGACTAAAGGCAGTCCGCAGGGCTGCTGACTATTACAAGTGTAATAATTAAGTTACCAAGATACAGTTTCTTTACTATATCTAGACAGTATACGGGTGTCTGTAATTTATTTTCACAGTTTGATTGCTCTATGGAAGAGAACCTGATGTTTAAAGAGGATGTATTTCCATTGACTGCAATAGGTGACATTACGATAAATTTCAAAATATCTTTCCCATTGGATTTACCAAGACATGATTTTCGTGAAAAATGGGAATTTATTTAGTGAGAATTTATAGTATCTGTTTCCAGTAGTGTTTAAAAATCTGGCTGGATGGTTTGTGGACAGTCTGAAGATGCAGTGTTGCAAGTTTGGTGTCAAACGTACTGACGCCTTGTAATATTGAGAAATCTAATATTTGAGGCCGTACAGATAAAATGATAACTTAATAAACGTAATCATACCAGCTGTAAGATTAAGTCACATATCATAATAAAGTCCACTTACTGTCATTCTGCTTGAAAGCCAGCTCATCGAACATCTTGTCTAGAGTCGCTTCTACGTCAGGTTCACTTGAGCTACGATAAATGAGACAGAGAAGCTTTGATTACACTCAGTCCACCTTTAACTCTTAGTGATTGATTTACCAGAAGGATTTCTTACAGGAAGTAGAGTTTTCCCGCGGAGGGTCTGTTCCTTTTGCGGTAATCGATCCCAGAATCCAGCCGAAGAGTTTGGCAATATTTCTGTGAGATGTGAGAGACAAATAATTAACAACCTGAGCCAAGAGAAAAAGAGATTTCAATATGTTTTTGAGTGACAAACATTTTATTCTACATTTTTACCTGCAACACGGCAATAAAAGGCACAAAGTTGACTCTCTGCAGCCCATTTTTATACAAATCTGAG